TATCCGAAACCATAGTCTACCCCATACTCCATATATGTTTTGACTTCTTTCTATATATAAAAGTCTATGATTAAATTTATTTTATATTACCAAGCATAGTAGTAAATGATTTAGAACAGTAACTAATAAAATAGAATAGTTTGTAATAATATAATATAGTAAAAGCTGAATAAAATACAATGAATTATTTATTTCTGGAAATTTCCATTTGATATATTTGGACTCAATTGATTGTGGGTAACTGAAGCCCTGGGAAGCACAAACACTGATGGGGAAATATACTGTTGCAAACTTGTTTTGCCTCTATTCCCTTGGCTCTGAGTTCTCAAGAATTCCCATCGTGGGTTTTCATAAAGACAGCTACATCGTGCTTCTAGTTTTGACATCTAAGTAAGATTAAACCAAAATTAAATAAGCATTGAAAATGGATCTTGCAGAAGTCCTTAAAGTGGCATTTGGTAAATTACTCTGTTTCTTTGTGTTTGTAAACACGTTGTATCACATTGCATCGGGAAGGTTTATAATACCCGTGAACGCCACTTAATCGCTTATTTTTCTGGGGTTTGGACAAGTCTTTAAACTCTCCAGCCTTAGTTCAGCTATACTTCCTCTTTATTGTAATCTTGAAGCAGCTGTCTTGGCTGCTGTTTCCTGCTTTGGGTGGTCAGTGGACAGAGTCAGCTTTGGTGAAAGAGGCGGGTTCATCTGACACTTCACTGTGGTCATTGATAGAAAAAAGTCCCCCTCTTTCTCTTTTGGGAGATACAGATGTGCGTGCATGTGTGCGTGTGTGCTCATGCACAATGTTGGACTGAAATTTCAGAAGACATTGATTTTTAGTTGAATGGGATAGGATTGTTTGCTATGTGGAGCTGAGACCTAGCATGTTAATTTTGGGAAAAAGGGAGGTGAGAAGATGTTGGTAATTTCCACATGATCCAAACAGGCCTTCCTCTAGCTCTGGGGTTCAGTAAGTTCTAGCTGAGCTGTGAGAAACACTGATGGGGCATTCTCTGTATTTCAGTCCCCCACATCTGACAAGGACCTTGTGGGATGAGGAGGGCGGGGGCTCTTGATGAGGGACAGCTTCAGGTTAGCACAGACTGCCTCTCATTCCCAGGGTGGACTCTCTGGTGTTCTCTGCAGACTCCTGCTGTGTGCTCCGCAGGGTACATGTCCAGCTAAGACTACCTGGCTAACAACCCACCCCTCTCACCCTTGACTGTAAAATCACTCAAAACCACTCTATCCCCAAAGGATGACGATCCATCCTCACCCAGCTACCGTCTCCAGTGATACCATCAGGGCCTCCAACGCTGGCAAATCGCCAGCCTTTCTGCTCAACTTCCTTTGCGTTGTTAGTTTGGCCTCAGTGAGACCGGAATCAAGCTCATTAAGATCCCACAGGTGTTCAAAGCCTGGCATTATGTCTTTTTTTTTTTCTGTATACACAGTCATTCGAGAGGGCACTTGTTTTGATTATGCAACAAAGGAAATGACCTATTTTTGTAGTTCTTGATCAAGCTTCTGGATAGGTCAGCGAGAAAGATTATTTTATAAAATTCATAAATTAATCTATCTCTCGATCACCTATTTATGTGTGTGACTACCATGGCATGCTTGTAGGGGTCAGAGACAACTTATGGGGGTTGGTTCTTGTAGCACATGGGTCCTGTGGCTCGAGCTCAGTCGTCAGGCTTGGCAGTGAGCACCTTCACTCACTGAGCCACCAGTGCTGGATGAGTTTCCTGAGGTTTGTTTTACAGCGTAACCGTGCTAAATCCTAGATAATGTTCTGTGGAAGCCTCAGGCCAGGAAAAGGCTCCCCCTTTCCCCCACCCCTTTTGTGTCTGTGGTGTGTAAGTGCCTATGGAAGTCAGAAGCTGAGGTCAGATTTCTTCTTTGACCTTCTACCCTGAAGCAGGGTGTGTGCTGAACCCAGCACACCAGTTTAGCTAGTATAGCTAGCTAGCTTGCCCCGGAGAAGACTCTCCACAGCTGGCCTGCCATGGCATGACATTTGTATGTATGCTGGACATCCATATTTAACTCTTTACACTTGCATGAAAAACGCTTGCCCACCCAGCCATCTCCAGTCCTCCCATCAAGTTTAAAAAAAAAAAAACACGCGTTTTAGTTCCATTTTGTTTTATTTTATTTCTTCAGTGGAAGCAGAGATTGAATTTAGGGCATGAACATGTTGGGCTAGTGCCCACCACTGAGTGGCTAAATAAACCATGGGCCTCACTAAGTTGACCACACTGCCTTACACTGATGCTCTCCTGGCTCACCTTCCTGAATAGCTGAGTCTAGGTCTCTCACCAGATTTGGCTTGCACACCTGTTTTTATATTTGCCTTTTCCCTTTGAAGAAAGAAAGAGGTAGGGAAGAGAGAGAGAGAGAGAGAGAGAGAGAGAGAGAGAGAGAGAGAGAGAGAAAGAGAGAGAACCAGCCTTCTGAAAATAACACTGCTTTAGCCAGAATTAAATTTTTAAAAATTGTTCTAATTTTTAAGAATTGCATCCTTTTGTGATAGTTGATACTAGTGTTCCATTTATGATCATGATATAAAATTTCTAAAAAATTTTTAATGTCGGCTTATGTTTATGACATCATTATCGACAGGGAAAAATTTAAAAAGCACATTGGGAAGTTCTTAATAGACTTAGCAAGGTTGTTGGTTACAAGACACAGATAACTCAGTTACATTTCTGCTTCTTAATAGTGAGTATATAGAAACTGAAATTAAAAACACAGCATCTTTTATTCTTGCTCTGGAAAAAATGAAATATTAGCAACGTACAGGATCTGTGTGCTGAAAATTACAAAATGCTCATGAAAAATCAAATAAGATTTGAAAAACGGCCGAGGCGTAGCTCTGTTTATCCATTGGTAGTCGCAGTGTATTAAAGGTTTCTGTTTTCTCCAAAGTGATGTCTCAGTTTAAATGAAATTCCTGGAAATATCTCACCAAGGATTTTTGGTAAGCGTGAACAAACACATTCTGGGACTAGGGCGATGACGCTGAGGGTAAGAGCGCTTCTTGTACAAGCATGAGGACCTGGGTCCCCAGCCTCCTCTAAGAAGCTGCCGGTGGTCCCTTGCCCCTGAACCTGCAATGCCCGAGTGATGGATAATCTTGTCAACCTTGTTGGGTGGAGGAGTGTCCCCGCAGCTGTAAGGCACGCTTCTGAATGTGTCTGTGAGTGTTTCCAAAAGGACTGAAAATGGGGGAAAGAATATGAAGTTGGGGAACAAAAATATGAAGAGACGTTCAAGATCATTATTGATCTGTCAAAACGGCTAAGTGGAAACAGAGCCAATGCTTGGTGGTGTTGGGGGGGGGCGAGAGATAACCAACTCCCCAAAGTTTTCCTCTGACCTCCACAGACGCTCTGTGCCAGTTGTGCACCTGTGCCCTGGCACTGTCACACACACACAAGTAATACTAGTAATAAAAGGTTAGTGGGAATATAGCCAGGCAGGTGTTGATGCTGACCTGGTGCGGGCGGAAAGTACTGCTACTGAGCAGAGCCTGTGTGTGAAGCAATTCAACAGTCTCGTGCAAAACCAGACCTGCGATTTCCATCTAGCCTAGCAACCTCACTCTTGGGCATCTGTCGTGGAGAGATGATGCTTAGGTTCACAAGAAACCTATTTATGAATATTCATAGATGTTTCAGGTACCATCTCCAAACCATAATGTGCCTAGATGTCTTTGAGAAAGTGACTGGCTAAACAGATTGTAATGAACTCACTCTGTGGACTGCTGTATATATACACACACACACACACACACACACACACACATACACACACACCCCAGACTGCAAAGTTGGATGAATCTTTGGGAGCCTTGCGCTGCGTGAATAAAACTATGTGAACGAGCTTTTCATTTCTGTAACAAATACCTGGCGTAGGTCAATTTACAGAGAGAAAAGGCTGCTTTTTAACTGACAACTTTGGGGATTTTGGTCTGTGATTGGTTGGCCCCTTTGCTTTGGGCCTCTGCTGGTGCTTTATTGTGGCAGACCAATAGGCTTACCTCATGATTGGGAATGAAACAGACCCCAGCTTCACAATGCTCTTCAAAGGCAGGTGAGTAATGACCTCACTGTGAGAGCTGCCACCGCCTCCAGGATCAGTAATGAGAGGTTACTTAGAGGAGCAGGCATGAAAGCCCTCACGGATGGTGATTCATGAAAGCTGGAACCCAGGAGCATACCGTGTGACTCATGGGAGGCTTAGGTCAAGTGATTCAGTCCAAGCGGCTTGGCTGCTTTGAGTCCTCAGAAGCCCTCACTAGTTAGATAACCCTAGGAGAAGGACAGGCCTGTGCATTTGGTTAGTTTCAGGGCCTTTCTGAGATTTATGAGCTGTTTACTTTGTAAGTCTTAAAAGAGCCTCTTTGAAGGTGAAATGTCTCAGTGTGGAGGAAATGGGTACTAGCTATACAAGCAGGAGACTGTAAATAGCCCTGGGAAAACCAATTAGGGACACGTCAGTGTTAAATCTTATTTGCAATGTTATGGGACAGTCTGCAAAATGTGACCATATTTTCTTGGGTTGTGTTTTTGAGACAGGGTCTTGTGTAACCTAAGATAGCCTTGAACTCACTATGCAGATGAGGATGACTTTAAATTCATCCTCCTGCCTCTGTCTCCTGAATGCTGAGATTATAAATGTGCACCACCACATTTGACTCTTGGTGTTTTTTCTTCCACTTGTGTCCCTGTGTCCCCGTCCACGCCCCCCCGCCCCCCCCCTTTACTTTATTTACTTCGTATGGTGGCGAGAGGCAACAATGTATGCATGGAGGTCAGAAGGCAGTCTGAGGGAGTTGGTTTTCTCTTTCCACCCTGACAGCTCTGCAGATGGAGCTCAGATCATTGGGTTGGGCAGCAAGCACCCTTGCCCACTGAGCCACCTCTCTGCCCACCCTCTTCCTCTTGTCAGACTTTCACTAGGAAGCTCAGGATGGCCTTGAACTTGAAGTGCATTTGCCTTAGTCTGCTTGACTACTAGGAATGGAGAAGATGCCCACTACAATGCCCTTCTTAAGGCAGTGATGTGATCCCATCACTGGTGGCACATGCCTTTAATCCCAGCATTTGGGAAGCAGAGGGCAGGCAGACCTCTTTGAGTTTGAGGCCAGCTTGGTCTACAGAGCAAGTTCTAGGACAGCCAAGGCTGAGAAACCCTGTCTTGAAAAACAAGCAAACAAAACAAAGGTGGTGGTGATGTGTGCGGAGAGTAGACATCAGGATTGTCTTCTTCAGTGGCTCCCTAACTTGATTTTTGACACAAGATCTCTCACCAAGTTGGTTGGACCTTCCTCTCTGTGCCTTAGATGTACACACCGCTGCACCCATCTTTTTTTTTTTTAAACATAGGTGTGGGGATCTGAGCTCAGGTCCCTGTGCCTTTACAGCAGAGTCTTTACTGACTGAGCCATCTCTCACTCCCCTCTGGTGTTATTTCTTAGAATCTATAATTATGTCAATAAAAATTCAGTAAATAAAATTTTGATTTAGACGGGAAAAGATGAGTAGTAAATGTATTTGCATATCACGCACGCTTCACCTGTATTTACAACAGAACTTCTGGAGAGAGCTTGGCTGACGTTTTGCCAGCATCCTGAGTGAAGTGATTAACTGGACTGTCCCAGCACATACAAGGCCCAGAGGAAATACAGGATAATGCTGTTAAAAGCTGGCACCGAGGGGCTGGCCTTTGCTAGAGCATTTGCCTCCCTTATTGGGGCCCAGAGTTTGATCCTCAGATACACTTACACACACACACACACACACACACACACACACACACACACATACACGCATATGCACACACACAATGCAGGTACACAAGCGTGTATGCACCACCACTACCAAGAAAAAGAACTCTAAAAGAAGAAAGGGGAAGCCTGACGCATTGGTCTTTGTCCAGAGTACGTGTGTCTCCCTGAGACAGAAATAGTCTGGCGGGCGACAGGTCTGTGAACCTACTGGGCATCTGCCTGTGGAGAGCTCTCCGTGGCAGGAGAATCAAGCAGTTGGTCAGCCAATCTGGCTGCTCCAGATTCTGCCTGCTGGCATGACACTTCTAGGGAGTGAGCCAAATCTCCAGGTCCCAGACCTTATTCCAAGCCAGACCTCATTTTACTCTAATCCCAAAGGGATTTGCTCTTCCATAATTCCCAGAAAACTGGATATTTCCATCCATGGGGGGGGGGTTTACTCAGGGACAGTTTCTCTCTCTCTCTCTCTCTCTCTCTCTCTCCTGTGTGTATCTGTCTCTCTGTCTCTGTCACTCTCTCTGTATGTGTGTATAAATGATCTCAACTAACAGACATCGGTGGCATAAGCATTTTGGCCCTTAAGAAGAGCTGTGCACAGCATCTTTGCAGAGTGGGCTGGGCTGGCAGTGGATTCAGCCTTTCAAATCCAGCAGAGCCCGAGGGAGGCATCTAGAGCAGAGGGCTCGGCCAAAGAGACACCTGTCCCTTAGTCGGCATGCTTCGTGGGCATGTGTGCCTCAGAAGAGAGTAGAGGTTCAGTAGTCCTCATCCAGAATGCCTAGGATCAGGGTACCTTGGAGTTCAAATTTCACAATTATTTTCATATACATAAGGAGCTGTCTTATATGTGGTTCTAAATTACATGGGATGTTGAAAAAGACAAGATCTTCTGAGTAAATTGGGAGCATGGGGACCATGGGAAAAAGGGTAGAGGGGAGAGGGGAAGAAGGGAGGGGAGTGGAGAAAAATATATAACTCAATAAAACTAATAAAAAATATAAATTAATTAATTAAAAAAGAAGACACCATGAATCTGAGTGAGAACAGGCAGGGGTATATGGTAAGGTTTTGTGGAAGAAAATGCAAGGGAGAAATTAAATTTAAAAAATAAAGAGCTGTCTTGGGGGTGGAACCTAAATCTAAATGCATGTACCTTACAAACACATCCAGAGAGTAATTTTTTTACAGCATTGTAAATGGTTTTTTGTGTGTGCGCATAAAGTTTTGTGGTATTGAATTTTCTGACTGTCATGTTGTTTCTCAAAAGAGCCCCCGACTTCTTGGGTTTTGCATGTTTGGGTTAGGATTGCTCAGCCTGTCTTACAGGCCTGTCCTGCTCCTCAGGGTGAAAGGCCCAAGTCATTCCGTATTTCTAGCCCTGCTCCTGGTCTTAGTGGTAGTTTTTCTCAACTTGCCTGGAAAAACCCTAAACAAAAACTTCCCTCTCTGGAGGGGTGGAAAGATAGTCAAAGGACCAGAACCACAGTGAAACGTCAGTGCTCTGGCTATGACATTGGGGTGGCACTCACAAACCCATAGCAGGTGGCAGAAAACTGAGCCAATAAAGGTCAGCCACAGATGGGGGAGAGACACATGGGTTCCTATCCCCGCCCCGAGAGTAATGGCAACAGAGGACGGATAGAGAAAAGGAATTATTGTCTTCTGTGAAACAGCGGTTGCTGAGTTTGCTCACAATCCATTGGTTACTTATATCCGGTCCCGTATGAGCGAGTCCATGTAAACCCGGGGAGTTACAAAGAAAAATAAAATGACGTAAAAATGGGATAGGGCCTGGGGAGGGGGAAGGGGATGGTTGGGGGGGGGGGGAACGACAAGGCAGGGTGGAGAAGTGCGTGCGATTGGAATTCGTCCTATACACGTATGAAAGTGAGATGATGGGGACCCCCATGACGAAGCTAGGACAGGCAGCGGCTCTCAGCCCGAGGCTTGCAGTCTGCATGGCTGTGGGAAGACGCTCCCGGGGTCTCTCACTGGGTATCACTTCCTTCTTTCCCTCCCCTGCCTTGACTGCCAGCGTTGACCTTGGATAAGAGCTCTGGCCCGGGTCCCAGAAGCCTGACTGCTTCCTCCAACCTCCCACCCCCCACATACACCCAAGCATCTGCTGATGCAAAGGATTGCAAAATTGGGGACATTTAAAGGACTTTCCGATATTGAAAGAAAATAAGAACCTTAAGTGCCCCAGACATGGGAGGACTGGGGTGGCAGCTGCTTGTGGAGCCGTAACAGTGCAAATGTGGAGAGGAAACTGATCAAGATCGTTGTGAGGCTGCCACGTGTGCAGAGCAGGTCGCATTTGGCCAGCCTCATTCCAGGCATCCTTAGCTCCCCGCAGGCAGGTGGGCTTGGGTTCTCGATAGAAAAGGAATCTTCCTTTCATTGAGTCAGGGGAGCCCAGAAGGATGCTGCATGGCCTTCTAGACCTGATGAAGAACTGAGACAACTGAATTTTGGAACAATAAAAAGAGAATTAGATAACCTTTCCTCCGTGGTTTAGAAATGCCGTGAACATAGGGATCCATAGGGAACTTTTAGGAAATGTGAGTCTGAGAGCCGGTGGCTGAGATTAAGTATCAGTTGGAAAAGAAAGTTAGGGGTTTGGGGGTGATGGCTGAAGCAATAAAGCACTTGTCTTGCAAACCTGAAGACTAGAATCCCAGAATCCATGCAGAAATGCCAGGTGTGGGCCGTGCATTTGCAATCTCAGGGCTGGCGAGGTGGGTACAGGCAGATCCCTGGAGATCATGGGCCAGTTTAGCCTCACTAGGGCCCTTCTGAACTGTAAAAGTTCTCAAATGAGATGGTTGGCCTTCTTGAGACTGACAGCTGAAGTTGTCTTGTGACCCACACCACACCAAGGTGGGGACTAGGGAGACAGATCAGTGAACAGAGTTCTTACTACACAAGCATGAGGATCTGAGTTCAAATCCCCAGCACCCTCAGAAAAGCCAGGCATGGCTACATGCGCCGGTCACTCTGGTGGTGGCAGTGGCGGCTGTAGTGGTGATGGCACTGCTGCATGCACCTGTTATTCTGGTGGTGATGGCAGCGGTGGTAGTGGTGGTGATGTTGGTGATTGGTTGTTGTTGGTGGCGGTGGTCGTGAGTGCAGACGGGTACACTTCAGGTCCAGTGAGAAGCCCTGTCTCAACAGGTAAGGTGTACAGTTGTAGGAGGAAGGCACCCATTGCCCATCTGTGGCCTCCACACGCTCATTGCACACATGCACACATATAGAGTCTCCACCCTCAACACACACGAAGAGATAGAGATACAGAGACTTTTCCAAATGTTTCCAAGGGTCCCTGGGAAAACCCTGCCCCGAGTGGTCAGGGTTTACAATTAGAAGGTGATAGGGAGGGCCTAGAGCCTGTCTTGGTCTGTCCTGGTCTCTGACGACAGGCCACATGCACCAGGTCTCTTGTGCCATCCAGGTCCTGTGGAAAACAGAATCACATACTTTTTGAGATCCCATGTATCGTTCCCACCACTAGGGCCTCCCACAGAAGCACCTCCAGCCGCTCTCTGCCCCTCTTCCTACGGATTTCATATACGGATGATTGTTAGGAGAAAATGTGAGATTAGATGAGTTTGTCCACACCCGGTTAAGAAGAAACCACCTCCTGGAATGAGGGCTCCCTTACACCCACCCTGTACTTGGTTGCCTTTGACTACACTGGGATGAGGTGCCCTGGCAGTGGTATGTGCATCAGACAAGCTGCAGGTATTTCAGGAATCTTCTGCTTCAGAGGGCTGGGGCCAGCCTCTTCAATGTCGTGGGTAGAGAGACCTGTGTTGCCTGCTCCTGCCCTTGGTCTGTAAGCCAGCATTGCTCCCTGTATTTCCTTCACAAGCCAGCCTTGACCCGCAGCTTGGGTCAAGCTTCCTCTTCCCCTCACAGCAGATCTTCGTTTGGCCTTGTTTTTCTGATTGGGAACTTTTGACTGTACAAATCCCTTTGGATGATTCCAGAAAGCCTTTCTCAGTCTCTTGGATGCTAGCTCTGCCTAATGGGTTCTTGTGTCGTGTGAGTCACTTTCTGAGCTCCAAGGTCACCTCTTGGTGTCCCACGTCCTTCCAGGGGGAGGAGGAGAGCCAGAGAAAGGACTGGTTACAAGGCCATCAGACCAGGGTTATTTTATCTTATGAGGGGTATCAGTGCGAAGTTACCCAACAACAGCGACAGGGAGAATGAGGGCTTGGGAAAGAAAGGGGCCCACCTTCTCAGATGGTGAGTCATGAGTTTGAGGGGACCTTGTTGTCACTGACCTCTGACCAGGATTCCCCTCATCTCCCCATCCATGGAACCAGCAGAGTCCTAGGGATGATGACAGACAGACTTGTTTTGTCTTCTGTGGCATGATTGTCTCTAAGCTTTACAGTGATGCGCTGGCCTCTGAGAGGAGCGCCAAGAGAGGAGGAGCACTGAGAGAAGAGGAGGTGCACTGAGAGGGGGGAGCACTGAGAGAAGAGGAGGAGCACGGAGGGGGGGAGCACTGAGAGAGGAGGAGCACTGAGAGAGAAGGGGAGTATCTAGAGGGGGGAGCACTGACAGAGATTGCAGGAGCTGCTGTCATGAGTCAGGAATCTGTTCTTGGAGAGGAGGTTGTTCATGAAGAAGAGGCATCTGGGAGCAGAGTAAAAATAGGACCTCTAGGTAGGAAGAAAGAAATTGGTTTGCTTAGTTCTCTGCCATCCAGTTACTAAATAGGCTTTGTGTGTGGCAAAGCCCTGTGGGAACTATGAGAAAGTACAAGAGGTGTATCTTGGAGAGCTGTTTGGGGAGCATTTACCCCGCCTCACCCTTTCCCTCACAGCCATACAAGCTGTACAAGAACGTAGTCCAGAGCAGACAAGAATCTGGGAAAGGCTGGGATGATGTGCACAGACAGGACTGTGGGATGGTGGACCCTAGGAGGGTTCTGATGGGTGACTCCTGTCAGAGGCAGGGTAAGGAAGAATGACCTGGGTATGAGGCACTTCTGGTGGAGAAAGTTCCCTACCAGAGCCAGAGATGGGGGTGAGCCGGGGGTGATAGGAGAGAGGTTGTGATGAATATCCACTTGAGCATGGCACCATGTGGGGAGGGTGGGAAAGACAGGAGATGTCTGGACAGTGTGCTGAGTGGCCAAACCTTTGATGTTGGGCCAGCATGGCTCCTACCTCCTGCTCTTCAGACCTGCAGCAGCCTTTGCTTAGAAGCCAGGATGCTGTCCTCTCCTGACCAGGACTGGCCTCAGGCTCATTCGTATCGCTGTGCTGGGGTAGACACTGCCAGGTCAAGATAGAAAACCAGTTTGCCAGCCTTGAGGTGTGCTGAGAGAGGAGTGTTGGGTTTCCCAGGAAGCTTTTGTAGCCAAGAGCTACAAAAGAGGACTTCCTGTATCCCAGAACATCCCACAGCCCCCACCAACTAGGGCAGCAAACCACCCAAAGCTCTGTCATCTAACATTTTTAATAAAGTTGACATTTCTAGATAAAAATGTGTTTGGAACAGGTTCTCATTAGCACCATGCCCTCAGCTCTCTTTGCAGTATACTAAATGTCTGAGGGTTTCTATTGCCGTGAAGAGAGACCATGACGATGGCAACACTTAGAAAGGAAAATGTTTAATTTGAGTGGCTTACTTATGAGTTCATTATTATCATGATGGGACATGGTGGTGTGCAGGCTGACATGGTTCTGAAGAAAAAGCTTCTCCATGTTGATAATGCAGGCAACAGGAAGTAGACTGAATATTCTGAGTAGCTTGAGCAAAGGAGTCCTCAAAGTTCCCCCCCCCCCCCCCCCGCAGTGACACACTTTTTCCAACAAGGCCACACCTCCTAATAGTGTCACTTCCTTTGGAGGGACCATTTCCTTTTAACTACCATACTAAGTAAACATTTTTCTAAAATTTTACAGACATATATTTATATTTGAAATGGAATATTTTACTAAAACTTAAAGTGCTTGATTTCTTACATACAACCCTAAAAGCTACCCTACTTTTAAATGGGTCAAAAAATATGGACAGAAGTTTTTTTTCTTTAAGTCTTTGGGTAAGATTTCTCCATGTTCTTTATGTAGGCATTTCGTGCTATGAACTTTACTCTTAACACTGCCTTCATTGCATCCCATAGGTTTGGATATGTTGTGCTTTAGCTTTCATTGAATTATAGGAAGTCTTTAATTTCTTTCTTTATTTCTTCCTTGATCCAGTGATGATTCAGTTGAGCATGGTTTAATTTCCATGAGTTTGTAAACTTTCTGCAATTAGTGTTGTTGTTGAAATCGAACCAGAATTGTTTTTTTAAATAAAAAACCAAATGACAGAACTTGAAATCCTAGATAACAAAAATCCAAAATATCCTAAATGCCAAAAGCTCAAAGCCAAAAACCAACAATAACAAACACCAGAAAGTCCAGGAATGTGTCAGGCTGCGATGCCCACGGCATCTGTGTATGGGAGGTGACAAGGCACGGTAGCTTGTGCTGTGGTAGAGTATGCTCTGTGCTCAAGATCCCGTGGACCAGCCTCTACTGATGCTGGTACCAAAACAGAAGGCAAGAGCCGAACGTGAAGGCCCAGGAGCCCAGGGAACACATCTGGAATCTTTTTCTTCAGTTTGACAGCATTTAGCCGAATCTCTAAAACACTGGTGGGTGTTTTAAAGAATGACATGGTTAAACAAAAAACAAAACAAAAACCAGAGAGCACTTCCTGCCCAGCTCTAGCTGCTGCCCTCCACATAGGAGCACTCAGCATCCTAACTTTAGAATCATACTTTGTTTTCTTTAGGCTCACAACATCCGTGTTTGTATTTCTCAGCAATTGGTTGTTTAGACTTGCCCATTTTCGAGTTTTATGTGAATGGAATAATTAATGTTTTATCGTGCGATGATTTGTTTCCTGTTCCAAACCAGCTCGTGAGAGTCACCCAGTGAACGCTCACTGTCGTCTGGTGTCTGAATGTGGGTCTATTTTGTGTCCACCCATCCTACTGCCGGTGGGCATTTGGGTCGTTCCTGACCTGGGTTGTCTTGAACACTGGTTGGGTAGCCTCATCCATATCCACATCTCACAGTGCCGTGCTTGAGCATGCCTCTCGACTGTAGAGTGTAGCCGCTTAATTGCTGGCTCTTAGGGTGTCTTGGGTTTTACGAGTTAGTGCTAGTGTTTTCCGGGGTGGGTACCAGCCTTGTGCCAGACTGCTTGGCTTTCATCCTGGCCTAGTCTTGTGAGACTTCAAGGTCAGGGTATCTGAGAGTAACTTCAGCCCACACTTCCTTTGGTACCAGTAGTGTGGGTGACTTTGCGTGTACCTGCAGGCCGTTATATTCTGCCTTTGTGTGAAATGTCTCTTCAGATCGTTTGCAGGATCTCAATTGGGTGGTTAATTTAAATCTTATTTATTATACTATTTTTAAATACATGTACTTAATGCTATTCCTTTTTTTTTAGTATGTGTCTAAAATATCTTCTCCAAGGGGGCAGGAGAGGTTTCTTATTAGAAATCTTCCCATAATCCTAAGCTTGGTGATCGATCCTCTGTGTTAACTACCCTTCACAGACTTGCACATTTGTGATTGTTTTTATGTCATGAGCTGTTGCTTGCTTATTTATGCTGTGTGTTTTGCCCTCTTGTAGCTAGCTGGCTGTCTTACCATTATTGGTGGTACAGCCCTTTGTTTCCCCCACTGACCTGCAGCCAGCCCTGTTTCAGGCTGATACCACGTGTAGTGTATATATAGATCTGTTTCTAGGTCGATATTCCGTTCTGCAGTTAACTTGTCCATCCTTTCGCCAGCACCACCTGACCTAATTCATGCGGCTTCAGTCTCGGGAAGGGATATGGACTTGTGATGTGCTCTGTAATATTTAACCGGTGTCTTTTGGCCCCAGAGAAGGTGTAACAGTATGGGTAAGGATGTGTAACGGTCTGTTGGACTAGGTTTCTCTTATACTCTGTTAGCAAGCAGTAATTTGTGGTTTTGTTTGTTTGTTTTGCTCACACTATTCCAGTTTTGGCCACCAGGAGTCCTTCCCTGTTGCCCCTTGTGTCCTTGTGCCTTACGGCTAGCACCTTAAGACAAGTAGGCTTGTCTTGCGCATGCTTTTCTCCGAGAACCTCTGGTTTCTTTCATTAGAAAACAGTATTAAAGCCCACAGTCTGGTTGTCAGGTGTGCTCAGTGCTGTGGGGGGTATCCTTGGTTTTCAGCCCTCCATGCTAACTGAAGTATCTCACCTCTGAGATAAAGAACTCTTTGTGTTGATGCCTCTAACCCTGGTTTAGAACACAAGCCTTGGATGTCTCTGGAAAGAATGTTTCAAAAACGGTTGTCTTATTGAGCAGAATCTATTCCTTTTGTTTTTAAAGATTTTCTTAGAATATAAAGTTACTTTGTGTCTCTCTCTCTCTCTGCCCAAGAGTTTCAGAATTTATAATGCAACTTTTCTCAGGAGCTAAAAAATCCCCCCAATTTTTTTTTAACATATTTATTTTATGTGTGTAGGTGTTTTACTTGTGTATATATATGTGCACCGCATGTGTGCCTTATGCCCATGGAGGTCAGAACAGGGTATAGGATTCCCTGAAATTAAAGTTAATGATGGCTGTGAGCCACCATATGGGTCCTGGGAACTGAACCCAGGTACTTTTGCAGGAACAATAAGTGTTCTTAGTCACTGAGCTGTCTCTCCAGCCCCTTCTTGATAAATTCTTGATGGCACATATTGTTTTACTTGTATTGCTCTGTCTACTGTTCATCTGGTCAGTAGGCTAACAGCAACTTATTGATGTGTGTGTGTGTATGTGTGTTTATGCATATGTGGTGTGTGTGCAGATATTTCCTTCTTCCTGCCCGTCTGGGTCTCTCACTGAACCCAGAACTCATCAATATTGTTGGCAATATTGGCTAGCTAGCAAACCCTAGTAATGTGCCTTTCTCTTCGTGTCCACCCTCTAGAGTTAGGGTTTCTGGTGCAACCCCACTGTGCTTTTATAGAAGCAATGGGGGTATGAACCCGAAGGCTCATACTTACACAGCAGACACAAGCACTATAGACACTGAGCTGTCTTCCCAGCCCTTGAAAGCAAACACATCACCCTCACCTCCAGCCTGCACTGGCTGCTGACTGTACTCTAGCCATGATTATCCGTGGGTGGGCTAACCATCATCACTCTACATACACAAGAGGCTCCGTGAGATGAGATGAAACACAACCCAGATAAGGAGCTTGTCCCAGGCCCTGAGCTGGCATACATAATGTATGCCATGGCTTTAACCTCGTCTCCTGCCCCAGAGTCTGTGTCCCTGACCTTCATGTTTTGTCACATATCCTGAGACGTGAAATGCCAAGCCAGATCCGGGATGGGGAAGAAGCTCCAAGGTACCGAGAGGGAGCATTGGTTTGGAAAACTCAGGATTCTAGAACTCACAGTTCTTCCTGGTGGTTCTTCAACCTCTTCGGTACCAGTCTGAAATGGTTTGAGCAGGGGTCTTTAGAGGAAAAGGAAGGACCAAGTCCTTTAAGAGAACGCATGTTTTCTCTACAGTCCTACTTCTATTCCAAATTCTAATATTCTTCATGAGAAACAACCCATTTAAGTCTGCAGCCAAGAACCTGACACTGCCTGCTTGAATTTGACACCAGGGATTTGGCCCCAGGTGAATAGCTGTTCCTGTCAACATTATTAAACAGGCCAGACCTCATGGGAACCCAAGTTCTTCCCAGGGTACCTATGTCAAGTGCTGTAACCGGAAGGGTTTACTTGGATCACTGTAGCAGGTCATTGTCCAATTAGATGCTTACCTTGGAGGTGGCGATTATTCTCCCTTTCTCAAAAGAAGGCGATTTGGTTTTAGTTCCTCCCTCAAGTAAATGGATCTGAGCGTCCATAAGAGCTGAGGGTTTTGCTGCTCTCAGCGTTGTCAGAATGGCTGTGTCTCTGGGTCACACGGACGTTTCTGGTGTGGGGAAAACACACACACCGATGAGAACGGACTCTGATTATTCATCTCAATGGGGAAGTATGAGAATCCGCTTCAGAGCCAATGCAGCCTCTGCAGATCCCCCCCCCCCCCACACACACTCCCTGCACACCCTTCCTCCGCTTGATCTGAGGGAATGTTGTGAATGTTTCCTGGTGCTTTTGGCTGGAACACCTTACATGTGGGATGGTTTTGATGAAAATAGCCCTACTAGGCATTTAACAGCCGTCTCCTGTTTGCTGTTGCTGTGCTATTGGGGGCAGCTTGGCTCCTCCTTTTATTTTGCATTTATTCATCTTGTGTGTATGTGAATATATGTGTATACACATGTCCTTAAATACCCCAGCATGCATGTGGAATGGAAATTAGGGAAAAACTGGAGGAAGCCTGTTCTCTCCTCCTACCATGTGGGTCCCAGGGATTGAACTCGAGGTATCCAGCTTGGTGGCAGGCAGGTTAACCTGCTGGGCCATCTCTGAGTCCTTGATTGGTCCTTTAAGCTTAACATTGGAAAAATTGGTTGAGGAAAAAAAAAAGAATATATATATATATATTACATAGTGCCTAAATGAGATACTAAAGGCTATATAGCCTAAGAGTGTAGCAGAAGGTAAAATGCTTAGTTCTTGCTAATACAAAGGTTAAAAAACCTAATGGACCCTCTAGAAATCACTAGACCAGTTTGAGGCAGAGTTCCTGCCTGTTGTTCATTCCTTTTTCTCTGCCACAGAACGGTGTCTGGGTGGTGGCTGTTCTGTCACAGCTTTCACGTGTTCGTCTCGATACCGGTTTCCAAACTCTTGGTTTCGTAGCGTCACGTTGTAAATACTCTAAAACGTAACCCGCTGGGCGCATCAGAGCCCACACCCCTTCCAGGATAACTCTCCAGCTTTCAATTACGTAAGAAGTTGCTGGGAAGCCCGCTTCTGGGCTGAGTTCTGGGGCTCTCCCAGAAGACACCGCGCTCTCGGTGTCTAAGAAGTTCGAAAATACTCGATGGTGTGGGTAATGGAGCTTGAAGGTCCCTTGGCTGTCTGGAGAGGGCCCTGAGTTCTCCTTCCACGTCCTTCGCAGGAAGATGCTTGGCTCTGTGATTTAAGGTGCTCACTTCTCTGAGCAAAAGATGACTTTTCTACGCCTGCTCCAAAGCGCCGGAACACGCCTCTGAAGACGCAGTCGGCTCTCTCTCTCTCTGTGTGGACTGTTTTTCCTGCCACGGCTTTGCTCTGGCAGCGCTTGCACCTCGCTCTCTCTCTTTACACTCGCATGCTGCCTGCTCATGAAGAGTTCCATCAGGTCCATCTGCGGGATGAGCAATGTGATGTCCGTTCTCAGGGGATTTTTTTTTTCAGTGTTAGAAGGATTAGGAAAGCCAAGATTATTTCCTGATAGCTATTAGAACAGGCAATCAATTCTTGTATAAAATAATAACCGGTGAGAAAATAAGAGTAGAAACTGTACTCTTCATCGTCATAATACTTAAAATACCTACTATCACTCCTTTATATATATGTAATATTTTAAATTTTGAAATTTTTTTTTTGAGATAGGGTTTTCCTGTGGCTTTGGAGCCTGTCCTGGAACTAGCTCTCGTAGACCAGGCTGGCCTCAAACTCACAGAGATCCACCAGCCTCTGCCTCCCAATTGCTGGGATTAAAAGCATGCGCCACCACCGCCCGACAAATTTTGAAAATTTAAATCTTTGGAATGAATTCATGCAAGAAGTGAGCAAGCCGCAACAGATGAAACTTTACACCACCACTGCAGGATATATAAGAAGACTTACATGAAGATATTGTCTACTTTTCTCCTTGGGTAGGATGACTCAGTATTGTAAAGATGGAGGTTTGCTCCAAGTGAAACCATAAATCCACCAAAGTATCAGATGTTACCTACATAAGAGCCATTTTGGAGGGTGGTCCCTAAACTCATCTAGAAGCAGCAGACAGATAAAAAAAAAAGTTCTTTTTGGGTATCTGGGAAAAAAGTCACCAAATCCCGGCAGAGACTGAGGTATACTAAACACAGGGGCAGAGCCAGGGGCCGAGATGAAATACGCAAGGAAACCTGATTTAATCACACGGATGACACTGAAAAATGGTGCAGAAATTCAGTAAATACTGTTGGTAACTAGCTAGCTGTGGGAAATGAGAAAAGATAAAAGAAAAGTAGAACAAATATTTCAATATAAAATTAATAGACCATAAAAGTTGAAATGGGGCTGGAGAAATGGCACAGTGGTTAAGACCACTGACTGCTCTTCCACAAGACCCAGGTTTCCTTCCCAGCACCCAGCATGATGGCTCACAACTGATTGTAACTTTTGTCCAATTACAAAAGAGAGAAAACAGAGAATTAAAAAAAAAAATTTCGGGCCAGGTGGTAGTGGCGAATGCCTTTAATCCCAGCACTTGGGAGGCAGAGAGAGGCAGGCAGATGTGAGTTTGAGGCTAGCCTGGTCTACAGAACAAGCCAGGGCTAGTAACAGAGAAACCCAGTCTCTAAAAACAAAACAAAAACAAACAAATAAGTAACCCCTGCCCCCCCCCCCACCCAACCAACCAAAACAAAATCTTGGAGTTAAAGTGAACTATTCAAGTATGATACGAAACCCAGATGGCAGCGAAGAAAGTGATTAGTAAGACTGGCTGACTGGGCAGGAGGTGGCGAGCTCAGCAGTTTCGAGAACTGGCTGCTCTTGTGGAGAACCTGGGTTCAGTTCCCAGCACCCACGTGGCAGCTCACAGTCTGCTGTTCCAGGAGAACCTGACCCCTTCATGCCTCCAGGGCACATAATATACTCAGGCAGTACACACACACACAAATAATTTTTTAAAAAAAGACTGACCACACAAAAAAGTTATCAGAAAAAAAATGCCACAAGACCTAAATATGACATGTTGAAAAAACTATGGAAAATATTTGACAGAAGGCTAAGTTTCCTAATATGTGAAGAACATTTACCAATCAATAAGAAAAAAAAAGACAACACCAGTAACCAACTAGGAAGGGAAGATGTATAAGAATATTGCAGAAAAAAACATCTTGGCTCATGAAAAGTTACTTGCCACCCATAAATAAAATAATTGCTCAGTATTAGTGTAAGGTTTCTTAAAGAAAACCATACAAAATGTGACTGTTTTATTTGTGGGGCCATTTACTGAAATGAATGTTCTTAGCGGATGGCTAACACGCTGTTGTGTCCCCTACTTGCCTGTCCCCTACTGGTCAGGATGAGGAGCCTTCCTGGTGTTTGAATTCTATCTTCTGAAAATTCTGTAAGAAGGTGACATCGTGTTGTCGCAGTTGCTGAGACAGCCTCATGGTTATTTATTCCAGAGATGCTGATGTAATAGTGCGAGCATTTCATAGCACCAGGGCGCTGCACTCGACACTGTAAGGTCTGGTCAAATGAACAAGCATGGGAATAAGGCTTCAGGGATAAGCAAGCGGTTACCCTTCCTTGCTCCTTGAGCAATGCTTGATGCCTGGGCCTGCTCACCTGCTCATCTGGGTACTTGAATTTTGCTGGCAGAAGCACCTCTGTCCTAAAACCTGTAGCTGGAATGGTGCCCTTCCTGAAGGCTCCGTTCACTCAGTCTCCCACAGACTCCTCAGAAACACGGTGTATTGTCCTGGCTGAGACCCGTGGAACGGACCCCTCCTCACTGACCCCCTGGTGTTGGGGGAGGAGGCCCCTGGGTACTTGAATATTCCTGAAGCTAGTGAGTCAGTTGCCACGTTGCTGGGTAACACCCTTGCTCAACAAAACAAAGACCCCCTATCGGGCAGCGCAGGCCGGTTGTAACTCTAGAGCGGTGGGAACACTGTGTTCCTGATCTCTGTCCCCTGCTGAGAAGTCTCCCAGCACAAGTGAGCAACTCAGGGCTTTCTGTCTGAGTCCAAGGACACAGAGCTGGCTGCTGTCCAGAACTTGATAACACCCAGGCTGATAAATCCAGAGCTGGGCCCTCAAGGAGCCTCCCTTTTGGTGTTACCTTCACCCCAGAAACCTCTTCCCAGTCCACTTGGAAGGACTGGCCGATTTGTACCTTCCTGAGTTTCTAGGTGGCCTCAGCAATGACCACACTTCCTGTTAGGTCCTCATGGTCCCTTCTGACTTCCTCCTCTTACTGGGGATGGAAGCTGAAGGGATTTGCTGTCTGGCATTAAGAGCTGTTCACTGACCACATCTGAAGTATCACCCGCAGTGAGCATACCTGCGCTAGAACAAAACCATGGTTCTGTCTGGCCGGTGTGCCACTACAGCCAAAATCACCTGAGAATTTCTTAAAAAGCCAAGCAATTTTGTTTCCCTTTAAAATAATCTCTCATAGCTCTGATTTCTTCATTCCCTAGGCATTTTCGTTTATTTGCTTTGGGTCTTTTGCTGTTGTTTGTTTGAGACGGGGACTGGCTTAGCTGAGGCTGGACCCTTCCACTCAAATGCAAACTTTCTGGCGTTGTTTTGTTTTGAAATCTTTTTCCCAGGCATGGTGGTACATACTGGTAATGGCAGATGGAAGTGTCAGGCAGAAAGATTGGCACTAATTAAAAGCCAGCCTAGTCTGGCTTACATATTCAGTCCCAGGCTTGCCTGGGCTACATGTCAGGAGCCTCACCTCAAAAACTAAAGAAAAAAAAATAAGTGTCACTAATCTTTCTAGTTTAAGCATTTCAGGCTCCCACTTAAAGTCTAGTGAGAAGATACTCTGATTGTAGTTACTCTGAGGAATATCTGTCAAGTCCAGGTCTGGTCACTCAGGGACAAGAAAGAATCATGCTAGAACCTTTGCTGTCCGAAATGGGCTGGATCCTGCCGCACCCTTACCCACTGTTGGGGAAGAACCGGGAGCTGAGTGGACGTGGAGCCTTGTTCTCCCCAGCTCAGGAGCTCACCGGGCTCGGCGGTGGATGCGACAGACTCCTGATATATTCTGACAATGATTGACAGAAGAGTCCGTCCTGGAATTCAGGTCTGATAGCTAGGCAGTTACTAAATAAAGAGGCAAGCAGTGAGGAATGTTGAAAGCCAGCTGTTCCAGATGTGTCATTCTG